CTCAATCAACCGGGAAGTCAAAAAGAAAGGCAATGTACATAAGAGCACGTGCCCAAAGAGGAAGGCCACTTCCTCCTCAGCAAGGATTACTGGCTTGCTTTGGTGGGTTTTTTTCAGGACATGGGCACACGGCATGTTGTTTTGGGGTATGTTTGTTTGGGGTTATTTCAATATTACAGTACTTATTTTCTACTTAAGTTTTGACTAAATAACAGGAATCATTTCAAAACGAATGAGAAGCTTCCACTTCTCGCACATTCTCTCATGATACTGGCCTAAAATTACTTTGTATGGCTTAAGTTAAACCTTTGTACTTGTCTTTGTGATGGATAATAACCTTAACAAGACAAATTCCAATAAGAAAGTCTGGAATGATTTATGTTTTATAGTAGTCACAAAGACTTAAGAATATAAAGTTTCATTGCCTGTTCCTACTATAAATGCACCTTCCCAGGGCCTCTGCTCACTTTCTGGGACTAATAGAGCTACCCAAAGTGCTAATAATCATGATAATCATTCCCAGCACTGGGCTGGCACTTTCCTTATTGTCCATGTAGAGGAGACTTTGCCTCCCAGCACTTGTTGAAACTATCTGTAGAAATACCATCATTAGAATAAATTACTTGCCACAAACAGTAACTAAACTTTATCATGCTGCTTCAGGGAATGTTAATCTGATTTAGGGATTACGTAGTGGTGAAAAGCGATGTTTTCCTGAAAAATCTAAGTTGTATTTGTTTGGAATAGATATATGATGCAACTGCAAGTTGTTAAGAAATGCAATACTACACATACCTTGTAGTGCTTTTGGATAAGCTGTTGGAGAAAGCAAGCACACCAGTGGTTGTCCGAATAGGTTTGTGAAATTCTGTAACAGATAAGAATTTTGAAGGACTGATGGTCACTTTGCTTTTGAATATTCAGCAGGTTAAGGGCACAAACAAAGACTATTAATGACAGAGAAGACACTAATGCTCGTCACACAGTTCAGTATCAGCAGTAAGGATGACAAGTTGACTTACTCATAGATCACAGCACAGAAGGAATATAACCCATTACATTTTAAAGGAATTCTAATTCTCTATTTCACAGCTGCTGATAGCAGACACTAATTTCATGGAAATATGGCTTTTCATAGAAATATGTTACTTGGAAAAAAAAGAAAACTAAATCATGTTCTGCAGTAGAAGTGAAAGCCCCTGGCTTTCAGGTCAAACCACATCTAGTATATTTCCTCAATACCAACTGAGCTATCCGCAGTCATTTCTTTCCCCTTTTCTTCCTAGCAGGAGGAACTATGTCTGATGAAACACAGTGGAGGACAGTTTTGAAATAAACTTCCCGTAAAGCAAGTATGTCGTAACTTTAACATCTGCTCTACTGAAGCCTCATTTCACCATACTCATTTCATGCACCTTCCACCAGCACCTTAAATATTGCACAAGAATTTCTCCAGAAACCTCAAAGATGCTGTTGTCCAATTTCATTGACATTGCCCTGATAACAGTCCTGCTGTGTACCTGTCTGGCAGGTATCCTGACTGGTAATAATTACCACCAAGAAAACAGCAATTCACTTACACAACCTCATCAGCTGTTGTATGTCTCACCAAAACAGCTTTCTTAAAACTGAAGGCTTGCAAAGCCGTAGCAAATGTAAATGATCCTGTCTGCATCCTGCCAGAGCACACATTCAAACCATGCATCCAGAGCACACAAGTGCAACACACACGCCTGCAGATTATATTCTTAAAACTAGCAGGTTATAAATGTAAGGTATACATCGCCAGAACTATTTGCTTGTGTAGAATCATTAAAAAGCTAACTATTTTATTCCTTCTGGTTTCTGCTTAATTCAAATGGAACTTTCCCATCCAGGCAGTATACTGCAATTACATAAGATTAAATTCATTGAGTGAAACTAAGTGTGCTAAATACCAAAGACAGTAATCTAATCAAAATAAAACATTTCCTATATCTGACAGAGTGCTGACTAGTCCTAAACCCCCTTCTATTTCATTAAGGGCCCAAGGGAGATTTATAATGCTAGATACTAAGGTTTGTCCCTAATGATGAAAAAAAGACCATTACCATGAAGACAGTAACTGCAGGGCAGCACAGTAATTAGTAAAACTGTGCTACAACAAAACACTCCAGGAGTCACCCCAGACAGTGCCAGCTTGAACTGAATACACTGAATACTGGCAGGTTACATGTATGCTTAGTATTCATGAGCAGATGCAGTGTTTAGTCCTGCCTTGTATCACCCAGTTAGAGACCAAAGCAGACTTTGCACCAGTAAAAATGACAATGCAATTAAACACTGTCTACAGCTGTAAAGCAAACCCAAGGATCACTCATGTATCTCAGGAAAGGTATTACTCACTGACAGTATCTGAGATCATTTTGGAGTCTGTCCCAGCAGAGGTAAGTCAACAGAGCTAGTAAGTCCTGCAAAGGGGAGAAACTACACGGTTTAACACAGCACGTGCTCTTTGGAAGACAACTGCTCATGCCAGTCGCTACATCTGAACTACAGATCCAGGAGCTTAAAACTCTCAAGCTTTCAGGTTCCTGTGTCAGCTCCTGCCCAGACACAACTGCCTACCACAGCCCAAGCAAACACCAGGATTCACTCACCACCACCTCCTCTGCTCCCAGTTTCCACAGAAACACTGTGGGCACATATGCAACAGATAGCCATGGCGTGGAGCAGAGGACCACAGGGTGCACCAGGAAAACCTGCCCTGCAGTCTAGATGTTGGTAGTAGCTCTAGATAAGGACCTTTCCGTGCATGGAAAACTCCAAAAAGGGTAAAACACGTTTCTGTTTCAAAATCAACTCTTTTTTTTTACTTCACTATTCAAGAGACCAGAAGCATTGCTGCTTTCAAAAATGCATTTCATGTACATCTCTTTCCAAAAAAGAACTACCCATCATCTCCAAAAGAAGTCACTTCACATGTAAGCTTTACTAAGCTGAGTATTTACACCACATCACTGACAAAGGCCTTGCATTCTTACTGGCCAGAGTTTGTGTCTTGGTTTAGATTTTTAAGGCCTCTGCATTTGACCATAATCGTAGACAACCACAGCTACAGGAAGATACTGATTTAAAAATATTATTTCACCCACATATACAGTGGTAGCTTTCAAGAACACAGCCATCTATATTTAAATGTAAGTGTTAAAAAAAAAATCGTGGCTTTAAGTAGATATGCTGGATTTGCAGTAATCTTCCACTTTCAGCTAAATATATAGGGGAGGAAGCTGTTCAAGTGCTGCTGATTTGACAAACTGGCAAGTCACTTCCTGGCAGGACTTACTTTCAGTCATCACCATTTAAGCCCTCCAGAGAGAAGGAGAGGATGAGAATGCATGCAGGAGAGCAGAAATGGGCTGTAGAAAAGGATGTGTGAGCAGTTGCTGTTACTGCCAGTACTGCTAGCGGTGACATTTAAATGTCAGGATAGTTACTGTCCTATCAGAAAAGATCAGAGAAGCCATGTGGAAAAAAGTCAGTAAATGCAGTGACTTCACCTTCTCACACTGTTGCACAGAACCTCTGTTCATGCCACTGCTTGAGTCTCCAAAGCCTCTCACAACACACCCAGAGGACAGTCACAGGACAGCGCTATTGGTACATTCTGGCGACAGGGAGCCAAGCACATAAGCACGCACAGAATGATGACAGACAGGAATTTACAAGGACTAGAAAACAGCAAGATCGAGAGCTCTGCCATCTACCTTCAGCTGAAAACAGAACACCCAAACCCATCCCCACACATCTATCTGCCTGGGTTCAGTGGCAACAGATTGTGAAGGTGAATGTAGAGCCCTCAGAAGCCGAATAGATCTTTTTAATGGGGTCCATGCTCTTGGTTTTTTCTCCCCTGTTCATTCTCTTTTTAGATTCTTCGCAGTTGTGCCCACATGATTCTGATCTGGGTCAGAGCTCCTAGCAGCCACTTCCATAATCCTGTTCTGAAATACTTCCAGAATTCACATTTCTATACTCCTTACGTACAGGCAGGTTTGGACTCCTCTCACACCAGCTGCTCCGTGTGCTTAACAGATAGAGCACCGGCGTGTTTTACTTTCTATGTACTTCACATTCTACTGATGGTCAGTTCACTGCAGAACAAAGAACATAAATTCCTACCAAATCCTCATTTTCTCAGAAAGACAAATAATTCCAATTATATTTGCCTGACTTTAAGCAGGGAAGTGAATTTAATGAAAAGCAGATCTGCACTGAAATCTAGTGTGGTGAAGTTAAATGCAGTAACATTTTAAAAGCTCTTTGAAATGCATTACAATACAACAAACCAAAAACCCTACAGGGAGGCCAGATCATTTTTGAGACTGTCAGCTAAAAGTTCCCTGGCTCAATACATCACTATTCTGAATCACACTGATCACTGATTTGGCACCTCTCATTGGCCAACAAGTGCCTTTAAAACAAGTAACACAGACTGTGGATACTGAACAAGAACCAAGTTCATCTGGCCACTAGACGTCCCTATTCCTCCTCTGAAATTCAGCTGTGAACGTTCACTTTTCTCACTGCACATAATGGAGCTATAAAAAGGGAGACAGAAGGAAGTGGCACTTTCCCCAGATATAGCACACTCTTAATATCCCATTCACAAACGAAATAAATGTTGTAATGCTATCCAGATTCAACTGGCAACTAAGACTGAAAATGCCTGCTTCTGTATTACCCGAATTGGAGATTCCCAAAGGTGATTTGGCATGGCATAATTCTACTGCAAGTCCATAGCACCCTAGGAAGCAGGCTCAGTGTCCAAGTATATACCACTCTACAGTAACACTGGATGCTAATTTGAGTCTGGTTATTTCCTTGGTTCAGATACTTTTCAGACACTGACACCCTGAGTTTTTACAAGATCAAGCTCAATGCTTTGACTCCTTTCTGTTCCTTAAAAGCAACTGAGTTTTGGATGACTGGAAAAAAGAAAAGCATATTAGTTATCTCCCTCCCCCATGCACACACACCAAGATTTGTCTTTGGTATATAACAAAAATAAACCTCCCACCAGAGACCTTGGAAATCTTGAACCTTTTTTCCCTCCAGGAGGATTTATTACTTTCCAATGAGCGGCTGTTCATGTGCTTCTCCTTCTTGTTCCTATTCATAGGATCAGATCCTGACTAGCATGCACAACCTCAAAAGAAAAGAAAGACTGAATACAAACTGTTTAAAAAAATAGCCTGTTAAAAGTGTAAGCTAACTAGGGGTTGACACTGTATCCTGTCAGACCAGTACCTGCCTTCAAGAGCCTTACCTTATAGGCGACACTGTTTGAAGAGTCCACAATGATAAACAGGGGCTTTCTTGTGAAAGGGTAGAGATCTCCAGGGTGAAGACTGGAAAAAGAAAGTGATGCTTCACAGAGCACTAGAATTGCTGCAGAGCTGTGACACTGCACAAGGTTCTTAGACACGCAGCTGGCCCATGTCCAGATAAAAAGCAAGCAAATCCCCCATGCCCCAGTACTCAGATTCATCCTCAGAGAGTAACTGCAGAACTATTTTGTTGTTCTCTCTAATATGGGCTGTTGGACTTCTTACTAGCTCTTTCCCAGCAAGAGATGTTTTATCTTCTTGAGAAGCCATGCACCATTACTTTGAAGTTCTCCAGTAATACAGAGTTTACATTGTCACAGTAATACTTTCTGAGTGCTTAAATCATCATTTAGAGCTGGATACTAATTTCTAATTGTTTAACTTCAAGTCAATCTATATTATGATATCTTACACTGAAGAATTTGAATTCAAGAGGCTTTGATGCTTTTTTCCTCTATTAAAGACAAAGTCTTCTGATTTGCAGTTGCCACACTCATGAGACTTACCAGTGCATCTCCTTGTAAGATTGGTTTCGCTTGTGGATAGCATCCCCATTTATAATGTCCCGGTTGCTATTTGTCAGAACACCACCAAAATCATACGGACCTACACATGGCAAAAAAGAAAGTTCAAATTAGCACAGGCAACTCACCTCTGCTATGGATTTAACGATTATATGAAAGGCAGGAAGCAACCACACATCCCAGAAAACTAAGTGAATCGGAACTACTGCACTTGTAAGGAGGAGATGAAGGAATGTGGAGACTTTACTAACTACAGATTCAGTTTTATACATTTTTAGTAGTTTCAGCAGGTATCGAATATAAGCAAGCAATGCAACTTCATAATCTCTCATTTATTTCTTTGCTATTTATCCATGAACATAGTACAAAAGATCCAAATATTGGCTCTTGTTGCACTACGTAGCAAAAAGATTAAAACCCATTACACATTTCATATGGGAAAATCAATACCTTTGTAAAATTACTGTATAAGCTAGCATAGTCTAGATTCAGAATCTCATCAAAAATGAGGCTAAATCAATAAAAATCCCTGTAGCCTCTCAGAACAGATATAATACTATCATCTGCAGTTACAACACTGCAAAGTGGAGAAGAGAGAGCTCAGAATGAATAAGCTTTCAGTACTCCTAGAAAGGACAAAACTTATAACCAGATTTCAAATCCACAGCAAAGGTTTATCTATTTTATGATTTCAAATACAGAATTCACCACTTTTGCACACACACCACCTGGGTGTGTGTTCTGAGGGTAAACTAAAGAAATACTCCGCTAAGTTTGCACAACTGAGCTACCCACTAACTGCGTGATGGGGAGCAAGGATGGAAGTAATGGCTATAAACAATATAAAATCCTACCACAAAGAAAAAAGTACTAGAGATACCAGAAAATTCTTCTGCCATTGCTATGGGTATGAAGTGCCACTAACATTAGTAAAATAAAGCATTAGGATTTCCTCTTTCTGTTACACATCTGCAGAGTTGGTTGACCCTTGTTTGGTCACCAAATGCAGTATTTTCAGGTTTGGATACATAAGACACCTTTCCGTTTTAAGGGAAGCTTTGGGAACACAAAATCAGGAACAGAACATACATTAATTCAGCATTGTTACAAATGCGATCCATCAAACACAAATGGCTTACAGGCAATAAATGGTGCAACTTGCAGCTGCTCTCCCTTTTAATAAGGTAGAACTTTTTTGTCTGTGCAGACTACACTACCTTATTAAAAGAATGCAGTTGTAATGGGATTCATTGAATGAAAAGTGAAGTCTGAGTATGCAGCTCTTCAGATGACAGAGCCTGGATGCCTCTACAGTAAGGTACCAAGCTGAAACAACACATGCAGTGAAGTGGACATACCACAGGCTTTAAAGAACACAGTTTAGTTAGAACCTATCACCAAGTTGCAGCAAGAGGTAAAATGTTAAAAGCATTTAAAAAAAATCACTGCCACAATCCAGAGCTGACAGGGATTTTTTTTTCTTTCAACATTTTGAGAGCTCTGTAAATCATGCACTGGGATGGACAAGGCATGCATCTTATAAAGGAATGCAAGTCTCAAATAGATGAGGCGTGTAGGACATTTAGGATGTTTTTTTCCTCCTTAAATTATAGAAATAGATCTTTCGACTGTGTTTATTCAGCCAACCAGTTTTCAGCTTTTAGATTGCAGCTGCATCCAAATATTCTGCTAGGTTGCAAAGAACAGGAGGATGAGGTGAGGGGAATTGTCAGAAATCATGAGAAGGGCTTGAATTGTCAGGTTAACAAGCGTGCAAATAGAACAGTCCCTGCAGATGCTTCAGCCCTTTTACCACCCATCTCCTAACCGTATGTTCTTATAGTACTGGAGATTGGAAAGAATCACAAAGTGCCATTCAGCCATTTTATTAACTTTGCACCGATGCATCAACTGAGCCACGTGGTCTTCAAAATTGGTGAAGCTTTTAACACTTCAGATGCATCAAAAACTGGGTATGCCCTTTGAAAAGGTCTCAGGTTAATGCACACTAATTAAAACACAAGGGAATTAACTATTGTTTGTGGAATAAAAAGACTATCTTACTAAGTAGACAGGAGAATAAAATTGACTTGTCTTTTAAAAGGAGCTTTTTGACATCTTTCTTGGTCACTTGTCCTGGAACATAAAGAGAATTCAAGCCCTGTTCATGACAGGGAGCATTCCTTTATTGTACCTTCACTATCCGAACGACCTGATGGAAACACGCCCGTGGCCGACAAGTAAATCAGCAGTACACTGTTTGCAGGCAGCTCCTGAAATTCAGATAAAGAGAAGAGTGGCAAGGGAAGAAATGTGTAAGTTTATTTTAATATTCAGTCATCACCTTCATTAATACATTGACATTTAAGATTGTGCTGCTCCTGCTTCTGGCTTCCCTTCATGCTGTTCTTCAAACGTGTATATACCCTTCCCCACCACATACACCCTTCATATAGGTGAGTGCACAGACAAAAATGTGAACTGATGATATGTGCATACTTTTTTTCCCCTCACACAGGCCTCTAGGCTGATACCAGAGGCTCAAGCAGCACTAAAAAAAGCATCTGCTTTCACACAGACTTTTGCTATCTCGCCTGATCCGATAGCTTTCCAAGATACGGAAATCAAAAGCTGCCACAATCCACGCAGACCCTAACTCCCAAACAATTCAGGATCCTAAAGGAAGTTCTTTGTTTCCAAATACCCTAGAGTCTGCAACATCTGCCTCTTCCCCAGACCCTTCTCAGCTGGACAACAAGCACAACACGTCCAGGTTACTGGATAGACCTGTAAAAGAAATCTGCTTTCCACCTTTCTAATGGGCTGCCTGCATGAGGAAACAGATGCTTTTAATTTCTGCAAAAGGCCGAGCATGCAGGCACCCAAACTCTTAAGTAGTAAGAGGAAGCACTTCCTTCACTTCACCAGCTGTTTCTTTACAGTTGTTTCTCAAAAGAGACTAAAACTTGCTTCTTTACATGGATTCATAGGCTCCTTTTCCTACTAAATCCCAAGTTGCTGACTTGTGCAGTCATAATTAAGCGTAATGAGCCCAGCAACTTTATTAAATTTAAATAACCAAAGTAACTGTATTAAAAGTTTACAAATGTATAGATCACTTACATAGAAGAGAACAGTGGGTAACAAAAGACAGGCAGATAAGAATATAGCTTGTGCAGGAGAGAAAATTTGAATGGGATATAGAACTGGAGACCTACCAGGTACGCAGTGCTTAAAAGCATCAGTTTCTTGGCATAATTCCCTGATTTTGGACTGTTTGGCACAACATGAACTAGAAGAATACTCTTAAGATTCTTCTGTTCTCCAGATCTCTTATCTAAGAAATATTTCCTATATAATATAGATAGGAAACACTTATTTTATATATGTATGTCTGTATATATAAATATAAATGTCTTTATATACACGTGTGTACCTACATACACACAAATAAAATTACTGGGTAAGATTAAATCATATGTAACTATTACATTACATCACACTACTTAAGGCTTTCCATAGTATTGCCATGCACCACACTGGATCCTGGACAGCTACTACTAAAGCTGCTTGCAGAGCTGTTGTTCAAGCTTCACTTTGAAGGTGGCTGTATTGTAGCAATGATACAACTCCTGTGCAACAGCAAGCTGGGTTTCTGTTCTAAAATGATTTTTTTTCCTCTCCCTTCACAGCAGTCAACAGAATTGCCTTTATTATACAAATTACACCGATCTATAATATTTCCATCCCCTCTGAAGATCATATTGAACATTTTAAGAAGGCTTCATTATCCTGACGTATAAAAGATTCTCTCAAACACATTTTATGTAGTGTCACATACCATTCTGGGTATTTTTCTATTACAAATAAATTCACTAATTTCACAAACCTTAAATGATGCTGCTAAAAATGTATAAAGCTGGCTGAAAGTTGGTTTATAAAGTAGATATTTATGGGGGTTTTCTCGCCTGGCTGGTTTCTCCGTTGATTCCTGTTAAAAACAACAAACAAGACAAAGAACCCAACAACCGTATATTACAAAGCAGTTTCATAAGCCTTTAGATTTCTATTTATTAGATTATTCAATCTTCAACACAACAAATGGTCTGTCCATGCTGCATTTCCTACTACACAGTAAAGCAAGATGCACAGGTTTGAGCCAGAACGTCATATTATCCAACATTTGCATTTGTTACCTGAATGTTTCTTATCTTCTCAAGCATCATCCAAGAAAGGAGTGAAAAAAAAAACCACTCTTCATCTCAATTAAATAAATTAAAATCTATGTATTTCCTTTTGTCTCCATGTAAAATATATTGTATGCTTTCTCTGAAGGGAATATCTGACTTTCAGATGACTTAGCAAGCTGATGAACTTAGCTAGCTGCATGATTGCTAGAGTAAAAACAAAGGAAGGGCTGAGTGTATATGGGTAAGGACAGGCAGTGCACCTCTGCAGAAGTACCTCAGCTAAACCAATGTAAACCAGTTGTGAAATGATGCCCAAATATTTGTTTCTGCTATTTTTAGCACTACTGAAGGTTTACTAAGGAGAAAAAAAAAGAAGGGAAGTGGGGGAAGACATAACATGGATCAAACTCCACAGGTTTGAGCTACTCTTCACTAACTCCTAGTAAGGGTTACATCAGCTTTACTAACCTGCTCTGCACAGTGACAGAACTGAAAGAGTACACCATTTAGAACAAAATAAACAAAAAAAGCCCAGTTCAGATCTGTGGCCAGGTTCATCACTGAAATGGAACTTACCTGCATTCCAGGTTTGTTCATTTGTGATGCTAAATTCATTGGTTCCCTTTCAAGTGCTTGTAGCATTCGGAACATATCAATTGTTAACTCACTGAACTTGACCTGCAAAAGAGTCAAACAGTTTATTCTGCCAAATACAGATTAAACAGTGATTCTGTGGAATTATCCAGGTAAGAGATTCAACTGCACACCAGACAGACCATTTATGTCCCTCGGGGATCTGCCAGTCTCATTCCTGACTCTCTAAAGACACATGAATGACTTTTAGAAGAGCTCACAGAAGACAAAGGCTATTTATTGCTGTTCTACCAGGACAGTTCACTGGTGTGCAGACCCCTCACTTTGCAAATTACAGGACTTTTCTGGGGTGTTTCCAAAACAAGTGCTGAAACTGCTGTGTACTATGGACTTCAGACAAAATCGGAAAAGATACACAAACTGCAGTTTAGATACAACTCCCTTGCTTACCTGAAAAAAGAGTCATGAAGTCTGTACAACTTCACTATCATCATCTAAAAAACAAGATCTTGAATGTCTTTTGAAAGTCCCTTCCTGTTGTGACTGGAGTTGCAACAAGCTGGAGTATGTCATGTGAAAGTCTAAGTCAGGCTTTTTCTAGACTCATGCCAGAGGCCTCTTGAGTTTGAATGTTATTAAGAAACATCCAGTATGTGAAAATCAATAGTATCTACTTTAATTAACCTGATGAATATAAGCAATAAGAGGTCAGTACCACAGGTCTAATAACTAATTTTGTTTTTAATTCTTATTTCTGAGAATCTCTTCTTCTTGGTGCCACTGCATACATCACAATCAAAATATTCTCATGTTTGCCTCTCTTGGAATCTCCGTTGTCTGATCAGAAGGGTTGTCACATGGGGAAAGATTCTGAACTCCAAACATACAAACCCAAGTCCCCAGAATTTCTTTTACCTGGTTGTTGCAGTTCCCAATAATGAGCGCATCCGCAAGAGCAAGCTGTCCCACTATCATTCCCTGCTCTAGCAACGGAGCTCCTGTTTCAGAAAGCCTGTTAGAGGTGATTACAATGGTGTTGTCATCATTTAAAACCATGACAGGGTCTGCCTAAAAAAAGCAACCAGAATAAATCAGGGATTCAAGAAAACGTACAGATTTGCAGTCAGAGAGAAGTCCAAAGGTCTTGTCACTTACAGTAAACGTTTCATAACTGAGGCAGACCTTTAAAATTAATTTGCCACACATATACTTGTATGCAGGCAATAGAGCAATGCCCTACCACCTGGAAAAGCAACAGCTCTAAGGGACTGCAAACAAATACATGGTACAAGCACATGAAGGTACAGCAAACAGAAAAACATACTTCCCGAAATGACACAAACTCTGCTTCAGCTTTTCCGTACCCGAGGAACCAAATGTCACCAACAGCCTTACAAATTCACACAGAACAAACTAAACATTCCTAATACAGAAGGACCCTGCACTATTTTAGTTTGCCTTTACTTCCTAGAAATAAATAGCAAAGGAGATGAGCAAATGGTAATGCTGCCATCCATGCTGGCAATATTTAAACAAATCCTCATGTTACACAGTGACATCTTGTACAAAAGGAGGGAAGTAGAACACTGACTCATTTAACAGAATAAAAAAGATATTCTCCTTCTAATAAGCTTTAGAAGTTGGTCACATTACAACTATGCTAAAAGCCTATCAGTTGACTGCCATGCTTACACCCTATTTTCCACTATATACTGCTTATGCATTGCCAGCGCAATAGACCAGTACTCCAACAAAGTACACTTTGAAACACAATCAAAACATCAGCAGATTGGATTGGCTTCCACAACAACAGAACCAGAGTTAGCACTGTCTCTGAATTACTGGCCATGACAACCAAGAGCAAAAACAATAACGTGACCAAGTGCCTCTCAGCTTCACGCATCTGCCTTCAATGTGTTACATGACCAGGTCTGGCTCTTCAGACACTTTAACATCTGTTACTCTTCCACTACTGTGCACACATTTCAGTGATTAAATTGGAGAGGAACACTGTCCCTGCACGTGGCACATCTGCTTACCACACAGAACTGGTGATACAGGCACACTTTGGTGAACAAGTCAGCAGATTTTCGTTTTAAACTAACTACTAAAAGGGAATGGTATTCTAACCTCGATAAACGCTGCCACTTCCTGAAGAACCAGGTTCCACTCCACCTGATCTTCAGTATTGAAACGATGAGTGTAGTCTTCAATTTCATCTGACAGCTCCTGATGTAAAAAGTTCAAAGACAGTCACAGTCACCTCTTAAACTGAGAGCTTAACAGGCAGTAACTTTACAATTTGGATAGCAGTGCTGGCCTTTAAGAATAATAAAGAAAAAAAATAATTACTTGAGAACATATGCAGCACATTTATGACTAACATGCCAGCCAAAACGCGCTCTTTAGGAGACAGAATGACAATGTTACACTGAGTTTTGGCAATGCAAAGTGTCTTTTAAGTAGGTCCAAATGCAAAGAATATCTGGAGTTAAGTATAACTATCCCACTCACATACAGCTATGTCACTGGTTATTACCATAAGCTATGGATACCAAGGACTCAAATTTCAGCTTACAAGTAACTTTAAATACACTGAGAAAGTGAATGGTATGGCTTTTTTAGCTGCTGCTAAGCTAAGCTAGCAGTTCAAGTAAGCTTAGACACCAAGACAGTAATGCAACCTACACAAAACTGTCAATACCAGAAGCTGCTTGCAGCAAGGTTGTTAGAGAGGTTTGGGAAGCATATGCTGTCAGGAGAAGCATCGCAGATCTCGAGTTGGAAGGGACCCATAAGGATTATCAAGTCCAACTCCCTGGCTCCCCGCAGGACGATCTAACACTACACCAAACATGAGCACACTGCCTGCCATCCTGAGGCTCAGAGGCTTTCAGCTACAGATGCCAGTTTGTACTGGGAAGAGGCCAGGGTTCCTTTCTTGTCATTAAAGGGTATCTCCCTATCCACCCTGCATCAATTAGAATATTTTTACTTGGTGTTCAAACAATGCTATCAAATCATCTGAGCTTGAAGTGTCATTATTAAACGTCTGATTCACAGAAGATACTCATTATGTTGGATGCCACCTATAGTAGAAGAGCGCTGATCAACTTTAGCCTGCACTCTATTTGTTGTACCTAAGGTGTCTGTAGGCATTCAGTGCTTTACTCCCATAGCAGAGACATATGCAGATCCAGCCTCTCCAATGTCATAGCAGTATCTACATCATTTGGCAAAGTTTAATTCTGATGAGTCTCTGGAAGGTGCAAAATGTATTCAGGATGTGTTCTAGACACAGGATTGAGTGATAGCAGTTTGGAAGGGAAGAGAAATGAGCACAACATCAAGCTAGGAGACACTGGCTTTCCAAGTAACAGTGTGATATGGAGACTTGCTGGGGAAGATTCCACCAGTGTCTTAAATCCTCGACAGGAATTAAGATGTACTCAGAGTTATCAGATGATCCCCATGTTTTCAGATTAATAACATGCATCTTACGATTTATTCCTAATATATACATTTGTAAAGCTTTTCTCTAGCCAAATGGTGACATCATACTGAATCTTTCCATAGCTCTAGCCATATTATTCCTTCCTTCTGTGGCATCCAACAGCACAATCCATTAAATGAAGGGGGGGAAAAAAAAAGAAAAGCTGTACTGCAGCGGCAGCTAATATTATATCTAATGAGTGATATTTCAACTGAAATAGACTATATTATGGATTCCTTAATTACAAGAAAAGCCCTGAAAAGCCATCAACCTCCCCCCCTTATCACTTTTATCCTCATTTTAACATACCTTTACAAGGTCCTTTACAACATCCATTTTGTTGAGCAAGAGACAAACCACTATAAACCTTGCATAGTAACGCAGCTTCTTAACCACTAATTCAGGCCTAAACACAACAACAAAAACACCACAGCCAAACTTGAGATTAAAATAGAACACAGGTAAGGCAGCAAGGGTAAGGGAGAGGAGGAGTTTAAGACCAGAGCAAGGCTGAACACTCTGCAGATTAAGAGTTCTAACTGAATTCATGTGAAGATCAATAGCTACCTGGCTGCTGAGAGGTTTACTTAAAATTGAGCACAGGGACATAAAACATACATCAAGAAAGCCACAGCCTCCCCCTTTCCCCACAGTCTCCTTACATGAGAACAGGCATGGGAGTCAGATATAACCGCTGGCTCTTCAAACCTTTTGTCAGTTCATGGGCACTATCTGACCCCAGTGCACCACATGATAATCACAGCTGGCTCAGTTCACCCACATGCGACAACTTAAGAGATCTGCAAGTCAGCATAGCCCATAATTACTCATCCATTTCTAAAACCTTCTGACAGCATCTAGAAACACGTTTGGTCAATCCTACCTTGTCTGAAACAGCTCAAGCACTCAGACTGAAACTGAGAGATTTTTTTAAGAGAGAATAGGATTAACAGGTATCAGAACAGACCAGGGAAACTTTCATCTTACTGTGGCAGGAGAGGTAATTGTGTTTAGACATCAGCAAGACTAGAGACGTGCAATTAGCTGAAGTCCAGAGATCCTTGAATCCTTGGTAGGAAACTCCTTAACTAACCTTCTGCATTTATCTTCATGATGACTTCAGATCATTCTTCTTTTATGAGGTTTACTGGCTAAAATGCAAGATCAGGATCCAGAACCGAGTTCTCTACCTATTCTTATTTATATCTATGTTCTTGGCAGGCAGCACATTTTTGTACACTCAGAGCTCTGCTTTGAGTGTACCTTTCTCAGTACAGCATCTTAAAAGGAAGACGTTACGCCTCCTGAAGCTCTTGGACCTTGTCCCAGTCAGTTACAGAGGGCTGTTGTACTGCAGTACTAACTGATGTTCCCCTGAAAAGCCTGATTAGAATCAAATAGGTTCCTTTGCTTCAGCCCAACTGACCTATCTTCCAGCCACAGCATGCCAGGTCCCAGCACTGATGCTGCTCAGGACCCAAAATGACAAAACTTTGGGGCTAACAGCTTTCTAGCCAGGACCAGATAATAGACTATTCCTCCAATCATAATAGCAAAAGTATATAAAAAGCAGTGCTTTTTGTATTGAGGTTTTTAATCATGGCAGGAGATTAAAAGAAACTTCCTTCAACAACACTGATTTTATTCCAGTTATGCTCTCACAGTTTAGTTATTTCCTGCTTTCATACACCCTTCTAGACTTGAAAAAACAAAGGCGTTCATTCAGACTTACCTGTCTTCTTTGTTGACTTGGGAGTAGTATGACCTCTGCCTAATTGCTGAATAGAAGGAGAAAGCTTCATTGAGATAGCTGGTTTCCGACGTGCGCAAGCTGCAGAGAAGAATCAGATTAGCTCACTGCTTCAGACAGAAATCCACACCAAACCCTCCCTTCTTGCCCCCTCAACCATCTTGTGCATCAATGGCAAAACTCCCTCTTCAAGAGACATCATATGAAAGCCAGACTCTGACCCTTTGTGCCTGCTGGGAAGGCAGGTTTCAGAGCTTGGATTCCACATCAGATAACAATCAAATCTGCCCATCCTGTACCCATATGTACAGGTGACAGGTTAATTGAAAAGTTTAAAAGAAGATTAAGCTCCCAGATTTGTAAGTCACTTTTGTATAAGAGTAAAATGCAGCATGCATGGGAGACAAGTCCTCTGGCAATATCAATATGACTAGCAGTATGGTATCAGGCTTACAGGTGTCTTTCTCTGCAGCACCCCCATGAGCCCCAAGGGCCTTCTCATTCAGAAACAGGCATCATAACTCAACAAATATATTGATTTACCCTGACTGAGTATCCAAGTGCTTGGCATGGAACTGCCACGAACACTACATTTCCCCGCTGAAACCTTTTCTGTGCTTACTTACTAATAATGGTAATAGAGCTGCCCAATCTTGGAAGCAATTTCCCCAATTTGCCACCGCTTCAACCCATACCGATTGTCCAATATTTGTCTATTTTGGAAGAGAGAAAAGAAAGATTATAAGACATTCCAGAATGCCTCAGAACATCAGACAAGACAAAGATCCGTTGTATGCACAAATTCAGCTTTTATTACTGGTGTAGCATTCCCAGCAGCAGCCCCTCATGGAGCCAAGAGCACCACATACACACAGCAGAGCAAGGACCACTTATCTTGCATAAACTTGCAAGAGCTAGACATAAGTATGTTGCACAAAATACACACAACAAAAGGTCACAACTTCCCAGGAGAACACTCAGACTACGCAGCCAATGTAAGGTGTGAAAGATCAGAGCCCACGCTGCAGCAAGATGCTTCACACCATTCCAGATGGGTTCTGCACTGCAGAAACTTCTCCTTGGTAATACATTAAAGCAACATGCATTCATGTAGAGCTAAAGGTTTCGTTAAAAAAGTCACACTGGAAACTCTGCAACATTTTATTTCATTAGACAGTGAGCGCTACAGGAAGTGACTATTCTCTCCCTTCATGCTTGAATAACACAGTGAAATCTCAATCTTAACTGGGGGCCCGAGGCATAGCAGGGATTAAAGTTACACTTAAATCCATGGAACATGTCTGCCTACAACATTCCCTTACCGATGCTGCTGTTGAAATTTCCAGAGTTTGGTGTAAACGTCAAATGTTCGCCCAAAATAAGATTGCCACTGCTTTTGCCCATACTGTGGTAAATCCCTGCAACAGAGACATGACAAATGCAAAGTTAGGGAGTAGATCCCAGCCAACCCAGCGTGACAGCAGCAGATTTGTGTCCATGTCAGAATAGTTTTGTTCAGAATTGACTTGAAATGTTTTATAACTCTGCCTGCACCCAGAACAACAAGAACCATGATTACTGTGTATTCTCAAAACCTGCTGCTACTGGAATCTGCAAGGAAATCCTGTTGAGCTTGTAGGAAGCACATACATCATGATCTGACCATAGAATCCCTAAAAACATGCCACAAAACAGACAGCATATTAATTTTATATACCAGGAAAGACTGCATATGCATAGATGTGAGAAAGCAGCATTGGGGGGAGAAAAAAAACTCTTCAGTGCTGTCATCTAATTATTGCTTCCTACTTTCAGAGGAATTCTCTAGTCGCTTTTCAAATGTTGGGTTACATGTCACATATCACCACAGAATATGTCACCCTCTTAACTCAAATGACATGGCAGAACCTGAGACCTTCTGTTTTTCCCACCTCAGTCTCCAGTGCTATAAGTGAGTTAGTCAATCCAGTTCAGTTCTGCTTTCATACCTGCACTCCATTTCCACAGTGTGATATATTTCCCTCCACCTCACAACTATGATGCAGTCCTAAGGATTGTAGCTTTGAAGGTTTGTACTCGCAGTCCTAGCAGAAGGCTCTCACCTGGAGTTACTTGAATCTTAGAATAAATGCAACAGAGAAGACCAAAACCCTCAAGTCTCACTAAGCACTTGTTGCCTACAAATCCATTCTGAAGCTGGAGGTGTTCCACTCTACAAGTGGAACAGCTTTTTCAAGACGGCATAATCTTTCATTGGATTCAAGAATGACTTCTTCAGGGAATGCTCTTTCAAATCACTGTGCTGGTTAACATACCATCCGGCATCCCAGTCTTCAGGAGATGGGCATGGAAAAGCAGCATATTCCACTACGAAGCCTGGGAGGTCAAGACTGAGGGAAACACCCCCTTTTGGAAACCACACCATGTCCTCTGGAGGAGTAAGGCAAGCAAAGCAGTACACTGCTATTTCCAGAGCAGCATACTGGCGCATTTCTGCTCACTGTAATTGCTTTAACAGCACCCTAGGTAGAAAAGGAAATTAATACTCCTTTCCTCATCAGCCAGCTGTACTTCCCACACAGCTTGAAGGGCCTAGCTTAGTTAGTACATGTAAAATGTATCTGTTATCAACTGTGACTCTTACCAGCCTAGAAATCCATTCCAGTACCTGCTGCTGCTGTTGTATGAAGATGCCAAGGAATTTGGGCAGGATTTTACATAAAAACCCACTGAAATAATAATTAAAAAAATCCCCCAAAACTTGCAATTGGCTGCTCAACAACTTGGAACGTACTTTGGTGTAGAGAGGGGTAAACAGGAGTATAACCATGTGCTTCAGGGCACAGACATCTTCATCCAAATATAGCTTGATACACACAGTGCAGTAAATGATTTACCACTTTCTATTGTTGTAATAGATGTAAATATTTTAACTAAACAGATGAAGTTAAGAAAGTGTCCAAATACATGCCCAAGATACACTACAGGCTTTGATACAGCAAGAGGTAGTGTTAAATTTGATTAGCACATACTCAAGCTTCAATGTTAAGAAAAAAAAGGAAATACAAATACAAAACAACTCTAAAATTAATCATTTAAAAAAAATAATAAAAAATTCCAGGGTCCCTGGCACTAACCTAAAGAATGACTGAATTAGCAAGTTGACTCCAAGAACCCTACCAGTAGTAAATTGGGCTTTCAAGGCCAAGTTGCTGGGGACATCTGAGCAAAGGTCTAACACAAGGAAACAAGAAATATACCCTTCTTCTCTCAAACACTGAGAAGTAGGTATATGCACAAATTAAGAAATAAGCAGGTAACTATTTGCTGATGATGCTTATATCCCTCATCATTAGCTAATACAGTCTTTACACCTCACCTGCCATCTTCCCTCATGCACCTCTGTCTCCCCATCAGTGCTGCACCTTCCTCTGTAGGAGCCTCAGCATTCTTACAAAACCTGCCTCAACCCCCTGCTCTGCTTTTTGAAGAGATGAGAATCAGGGGCATTTTAAGAAGCCCTTGTGAGCACAGGGCCCATGTGTTTGCTGCTGTTGTCCACAGTCGCTGCTGGGTGTCCACATGTGTATTTCTCAAGTAGCGTGTTCGCCTAATTGCAGCTGGCATAGCTGCACAATAACCATGCAATTCCTCAGCTCCCCAGGGAATAGGAAAGATCTCCATGGAAACAGACAGTAGCACTTGTTCTTTTCATAGTATTCTGACATGGCTGTAATAAAACTTCATTTATGACAATGCATTACCGTGGTTTCACCATAGGTTTTTGCAGACAAGAGCTGCCACTGCTGCCATCCATTCACTGTTTTGTGTTCTGAACATCATGCATGTCACTCCCACGTACCAAGAAATTTTGCTGTGAGAAAACGGATGCATAAGCAAAAGAGGACATTTAGTGCAGGGTTTTTTTTTTAATCAGACGAGAGGATCTGCATTATTTGGTAAAAAAATCACCCAAAAGAATACTAAAGACTCGGTTGGTTGCAGAGTGGATTATTAATGCAGCTCCTCTCACTGAAGGAGACAGGGAATATATGATCCAGAAGCAAATACACACCCAACTTAAGAGTGAAAGACCTATATTATAGCACGACATTTTGCTGCTTCCTGAGCTACAGGAGGATACTGGAGTAATATAGAGAGAAAAAGGCAAGAGACAGCTTTCCCCAGGATGTGCCTGGCTAAGGATGCTGGGAACAGAACAGGCAGTGGTCTGGATACTCACTCCTCTCCTACCGATGACTATGAGCTTTACCAGAGGGAGGAAGTGGCAGCAAGAAGGAATCCAGATGCAGGGGAGGGAACAGAGATGCTTTGATTTAGCACAGTTCTATCCAGACAAGGAAGACAGATACACACTTCATTACAATAGCCTCCAACCTTCCAACTCCAACCCAGTGGAAACTGTTTCCAGTTTCTTGGCTTTTAAGACATTCCAAACTGGACATGAAGACACAAACTCAGATGTTCTAAAAAGATGGGTTTCTCACACTGAAGACCGGTTCCCTTGCCACAGCAGAGTGGCTGGTGGATAAATTCCACAGGCAGCCCAGAATTTTATCCAATTCTTGCTTATAGTCTCAGCAAAGACCAGCTCTACTTATGTGCTCATACTCAATTTTCTGTCAGTCGTTCATTTCATCCATGCTGTTGGCAGAAGCCAGGTAATGCTGGCTGAAAAGCATTTAAAGGTGCTGAGGTTTGTCTGGACAGCACCACATGGAAGTTGTCACAAAGGGACAACTTCCAGAGATACAAAGATGTTGAGAAAGTCCTAGAGACTCAGCAGCACGCTTTGAAAAGGAAGGTTAGAATAACTGTAAGTTTAACATTCAAAGCTTTAAACACATTCACAGTTTTGACAGGTGATAAAAAAGACAACTTCCTTTTATGTTCCTAGGCTTGTAGTAATTACAAGCTCCTATTCCCAGAACCTAAGCAGCAGTGGGATAACGGCATGCGGTGTAGCTTCCCCATCACATCTAATAACCCACCAAGACAGTAAGCACACCAGCACCACTCACAGTAACTTCCCTTACTGATGCAAGTGGTGTGACAAGTCAGTCCCTTCCCACTACCACACTGGCTACAGCCTGCATTACATGAAGCCAATGGGGTCCTGGTGTTTCTGAATCAGCAGCAGCATGGAACAGAACTAAGACTTTCAACTTGCATCTTACTAAAAGTCTACAAAATAAATGGTTAAACACTATCACCTCTTTCCGCAAAAGGACAGCAGTGGTGATTCTTGCAGCCTGCACAATGAGACCTTTTCGGGGAAAGTATGATATACGTGGAAAGTCTTTTCATTTCTTAAAGCACCAAGCTTCTCTGTGATACTGACACATTTAAGCACTTTTAAAATAAAATAAGAACTGGTGACAGTACACCACAAAAAACTGCTTCCTAACACACTCCCTCTTTCCAGCCTTTTTTCTAAGAAAAAAAGTAAATGGGAGTGGGAAAAGGAGAGAAAAGAGCAATTGGAACCTGATTCATTAACAGTTGTTTCTAACTTACAGCTCAGGGAGTTCAAAAAGGGAGTAGGGACACTAGAAAGACAACATCCCCTCTAAGTTATTCTAGCAGGCACGGCCACAAAAGTACTGTATCAGTGGTACTGTGAGCATGAAGTATACTTTGGAGCAGCAACCTTGGCAGATCATCATATGTTTTCCTCAAATGCTGTATTTGGCAGCTGTATTGGGAAGAGAGGAAGGAAATGCTACTGAAACAAAGACGTGGCAGGCTGAGCCCTTGCATTTTTGGCAGCAGCAACAGCTAAGCAGCTGCCAACACAGCTATAGGCTCAGCTCCCTGTTGCTGAAGTGCCCAGAGGAGGTTTCGGGAAGGAAATCATTGCTCTCCTCTCCCTCCACCATCACTTCTTTTCCATGAAACACGGTAGGGACAAGGGAATGGCATACAACACAGCAGCAAAGGCCATCATCGTCCTCAAAACACAACAAGGCAGGCATGCATCGAATGCATTTCTTATGCTAGAGGGAAAAGCAAGGCACTGAACTAAGAATTAGGATACCATTTCCAGGCGAACTACCCAGAAGAGAACAAGCACTACCAGAGGAGACACCTGAAAATTATAATGCTGCTTTATCCAGTCATTATGCCCAAAGGAATCACAGCTCTTACAGGTGAAACAGGGGTCAGGTTCAGTGCAAGAAACAACTACATTTATTGTGTCAAGTTAAAGTAAGGTCAGAGGCAGGCTCCCTGTGGTATGTTCTTATTTTCACACAGCAGAGCCAGCTGCTGAAGCCCATCTCTCTATTTTTATTGCCCGGATTTCATCCAAAGGTAATTTCCATTTTCTTTTCATGTAGCTGGATAAAAATGTTTCTTTTTGGCAAAGTACCACAGATACATACAGAAACTGCATCTCTCATCTGGAAATCTGATACAACTACTAACTCACTCCATGCCCAAAGAAAAAGACAGAATGGCTGTAGGTACTCTGCCATCTCTGCGATCTAAACTTGAGCATCATGAATCCAGACATGAACTGTATTAATTTGTACTCTTCAGTGACTCAAGCCAAAATTTCAAGCAAGCTACATCAGAAAGTCAATATAATGGCATATATATAATGGAAATCCTGGCCTCAAGATCTCAGTCCTTTTGCTTTAGACTGTTTCATGGGGTGTCGAAAGCAATCATCAAGAACTCCTTGTCTCTACTGCCCATTTACCATTCAGATTTTGGAGCACAAATAGTTTGTTTTGGACTTGGTAATCAACTTCTAAAGCACATGAAAGGATTATCAATAGCAGGGGGTGGAGGAATTAAAAACATCTTTGCTAACCATCTGTGTTTGAATAACAGCAAGCTATATGGGCCCAAACATACAGTATTACTCAGAGACCAGTAAGATGCTGAACTGCCAACAAGATAGGAGCTAAAAACCATGTTGCTTAAGAGACTTGACAGCAAAGCTTAGAAATAAACCAGCTCTTGAATATAGTCTTTAACTCAGCATATACTGACATAAACAGGATGCCTGTATCACTGTCCAAACATGAACTATTTTCCTTGAACTCTCCTTACTCTTACTCCCTTTCTCACTGGTGCTGACAAAACAGCTCTACTTTCTGGATGTTACTGCAGATGTTTTGGAGATAAATGCAGATTTTACATTTTTCCACAATTGGGATTAAGCATTTGTTTCCCTAGACACATATAAGGTATGGTTTGGATGTTTCTGTTCGTCATTTCCTAAATTTCTTCTCCCAGATTATTCCCTCTGCACTTTTCTCTCACCTGGGCTGATCCTTCTCATTCCTTTCTTGGTACAGAGACTGTGGGGTTTTGGAATTGCATGCTGTTGACTGTATACAGCCACACCTAGCCCTTAATTGTGTACTTCACACACAAGATTTCAGTACGAATTGTATCCATTTCACAGATTTTCAACTAGTAGTTTACTAAGTAAACTGACCTGAGATATTCAGCTCTCCTTTCCCACATTTCCTTCCCTACTGTCTCAGAAGAAATGTGTGAACCTCTACTCCTACATTCTGACACACACGGTCCAAAACTACCCATACATAGGTGCACACTGTTCTCTCCTACACAAACTTACTGGGGTTTGAGTTTGAAATGTTCATTGTACAACTGACTTCAGCATCACTCACATACTAAAGTGTTATGTTCTAATGCTTTTCTGAAGGAATAGTATCAAAATGCACTAACCTTAAGCCATTAAATAGCTGTTTAGATTTATCCAGTAAGTAGCAAAAGTCTGTCACTGTTTTCCTCTCTGCTTGAGGAATATCATCTTCAGCTCCTCCTGATGACATGATTTCTTTTAGGGCAAACTCAGTCCTATGAAGAAGAAAATAGCCATATTACTCAAAATTGAGGGCTTCTATGAACTCATCCAGATTAGATGCATGTACAGTTCCATGGGGATGGTAACAAACAAAGCATGCAGTTCTCCCACAGGTTACTCTTCTCAAGACTCATTAAAAATAATAGCTGAGAATCAAAGCATGGAGCTAATTATTGCACAATGCACTGCTTAACAGAGCAAACTAAAAGTGGTACAAGAGTCATAAAATAAAAGAACTCTGAGGACTGCCTTCACAAACACAAAACTGCCAACAAAAGGACTGTAACACAAACTTGGGTTTCATACTTGGACACAGAAATCCTCTCTAAATTTGCCTTTCTGCAGAGGTGTTTATCCTGCAGCTGTATTTAGAGAGAGCAGCCTCAGTTCTGTTTACATTTTATTTTCTTCTTTAACTGCTGAAAACTGTAGCTCACAAGTTCCTATTGCTAAAACCTAGCAATTTTAGACAGAATGCTAAAAAATAGCCTGCTTCCTTCCCTATTTCCTCATGACTGTTTAATTCCATGGCTTGCACTGCCCACAATTATACCTGCAGATCTATTTTTACTTTTCAGCTGAGCAAAATGTCATATTGTACAGGAATCACCTGAACAAAAAACTAAGATATAATGTAAATAATCCTACTATTAAGTAAGGGACTATGAAAACCTATAAAAGCAGAAAGGCTCCTAAAAATCTTCATTTCTCAGCAGCAGCTCCTCTGAAAATGGCTGCTAGGTCTTTAGCTCTTCTGTGCTCTCTAAGAATTTTAGTGCAAGATAAACACATCTCTAACTGGGCAAATGCAGAGCTTTTACTTCCAGCAACTTCTCTACCAGTTCCGGTAAACACTTCTGTTAAGCAACAAGTTTCCATTTGTGCAGAAGCTCTGTTTGGATGCTTTTTATTCAAACAATTACCTACAAGCGCCAATCCAAGGCAGGAAATGGCAAAGTGAACTCCATGCAGTCATTGGGAACTATGCAGAAGCATCTTTTACCAATTGTTACAAAAACACTTCACAATAACCAAACAGACTTTAGAATTACCTCCCTGAACAAACAGTTCATGCCCACCAAATGCAGGAGAAAGGGGCAGTTCCCCCCCAGCTTTTAGGGTAAGTCAGTGAGCAGATCCTGCCAATCAAGCAGTTCAATGACTTCCCAGTTTAGGCAAGATGCAGCACTCATTCACCTGTCTTTTACACACCCAGGTGACAGTGCACTAGAGCACTAGTGCAAGGACATGGGGTGCACTGCACAAACCACTTGTTGAAGAGTTCCAGGAAAAGGTAGGAAGTATTTACATGGTGTCAGGTAACTGCAGCATGGTGCCAGACAGTGTAAGGGTGTTCAGAACATACCAACCAGATGTCAAAAGCTGTTGGCATGAGCCTAGCAAGCAGGAAATGACTATTATGAAGCACCAGCCTGTGTTTGAAATCTCTTAACGCTTACATTCACACAGCATGAAACAAACAGCACCAAGGACTTACAGCACCAACATATGAAATCGAAGTGAACAGTGAGAGGTAAAACACAGATGTCAGAAACAGCCAGGAGGTGATTCAGGAATTTCAGGAAGAGGGACAATACCCCAGGTCCTGTGTGCTCCGCAGCAAGGGTGACCTAAATCCTGCAGCAAGGCCCTTGGATTCGGCAGCGCTCCACTGTGGTACCAGGCACTCTAGAGCAGCTTCAGATACATTGTCAAATATTTAGGAGCTTGCTTAAATTGCAAAGTATGTTTCATACAGTCTGTATATCACTCCTTTAATGTAAAATCAACTTTATTTTATGTTACCCCTAAGTTATACTACCCAACGACCCCAACCGCTGCCAACAGTGCCCAACTGTATCTATGCAGGCAAGTAAAACCAACTACAGTTCTCACATTGAGGGAGTCTGCTAGACACACTGCAAAAAGGGGTTTTATGCCATCAATAAAAGACGTGTTAGAAAATCCACTGCCTGCCTCTGATACCTTCTGAGGCATATCGGAAGGCAGTAAAAATATTTGATGCACAGAAAGTAGAAAAAACCTCTTTTAGAGTATGGAGAATATTCTGTATGCTCAGCCTCAAGATATGGCTGTTGGCACACGGGTTTGGAGCTACTACTGAAGCAGAGGGCAAAACAACACCTTTTCTGCTCACAGAAAGAAACTGCCGCAAGCAGAGGGAACAACCTGTTTTCTTATCAGAGATGCTGATGAAGGAACCTAGGAAACAAACCACATTTAAGCACGTTCTGACGTTGCACAGAGATCTTAAAAATTAGTATACCCTGGAGACACTCCGCTAGGACATTCAGTTTTTCCTTTATTCACAGGTTCAGAAATGAAAACATGATTATTGCAATCAAGCCACACAGATGGTATTAAGGCAATCAGTAGCCTGAGTTTAGGATAAAATGTGGTACTACATAGCTGGGGTGAGGAGTAAGAGGCAAAGACTTAGAGGAAAAATCAGACGAAAGGCACACACTTTCTAGAACAGCCAGGGATTTACTTGTTGAAAGAGGGGAAATGAAGGTAGGTCTCAGTCACTCAAGTTTATCTCCAGAAGGAAACACCAACTGGGAAAACTGTTCCACACAGAAGAGAAATTACAGTACTTGCAAAACTGCTTCTTCACTCTACAACTGAGTAAGCTGAAATCTTAAAAGCCACATACACCAATGTGTGTACACATACATCAAGGCCTTAGCTTGTATTGCTTTAGAGATCAAACTATCAGCAAATGCCTGATCAAGTTCCACTTTAAAGCGCAGTTGCCACTAGCGCAAAAAGCAGAGACCTAAAAAAGCAGAACAGAACTCTGTGAGAAACTCAAAAACCTCTGCCCTGTCTCATGGTCTGTAAAAATTGTATCTCTCATCTTTTCAGGCACACTTAGCCTAACCCCACTATCAAACATTTTGATGGTATTCCTCTCACTCAGCCTTAAGCACCTGAACAGTAAGGCAAAATTCATCTCATTTTCTACTGATGTTTTTAGAGGGAGGAAGGTGACCAGAAGACACTTGATCTAAGGCAATATAATGAATGAAGACGGCTCTGAGTGCTTATGAAAAGCTACTCCCTTCGTACACAATAAATAAAACACAGAAGCCTCAATGTGCCCTCTTTGTTTGTGGGTTATTCTGCAATAGAACAACCAAATCACAGTTAAAGTAGAATGAAGTGAAACCTTAGTTACCCACGCAATTATGAAACCATCTCTGTTCTTAATGACCTGAAGATACAAGCACAACAGACATAACACCTCTGGGATGGCAGAATGAGTGTGCTCCAAATAATCCATCTTCGGACAGTTACAATGGATGAGATCAAGTTTCACTCTCCTGCAGGATAATTAAAGGCATTTTCTGGCTCTGCCACATACTGCACTCAGAACAGGAGCACTTCTGAACTATCCTGTATAGTTTCACAGTATAGTGAAAAGTCCTATTGAAAAATCCTTAAAGATTACACCTGAAAAGTAAGCATGAGTCCTGCCCAGAATGGACTGCTTTCTTAATCACTACATGTCAGATTTATCTTCATAATGATTATAAAATAACATCATGCAGAAAATACATTATAAAACTATTTAGGCCAAATTACTTCATGAACAATAAGAGTCTTCCATCTAGGAAAAAAATAATCAGGAAACAAAATCAGGAGTTGAACCAGGAAAGAAATAAAAGCAGTGAAGAATTAAGTAGAGTTGTAATAGGCATGATAATTTCCCTCTGTGAGAGATCTTTAGAAGAGCTGCCAGAAGGTAATTCTTCTACAGATCTCAAATTGAAAGAAGCATTTTGGTTACAGGCATGAGACAGGCGCTGCTGCAATTTAAACCCCAGGTTCACTCAGCCATATGCCTCAATATGAAGGAAAGATGGGAAGGGAAGATGGAAAGGAAAAGGACAAGAGGAGCTGTGAAATGATAGGTGAAGCTGGCTTTTCCAGCTGACAGAGAAGGAAAATAAAATTACTTCTCTCATGCACTGGTTTTGGCTTGTCATGCTCTGGAGGTGGTGGTGTTTGGTGCTGTACAAAGGAAGAACTACTATCACGAGTTGATCTTCCCTGCACTAAAGACTGTGTTGTAATGCAGCACCATTACATACAGGAGAAAGAATTATTATTAGAAACAGCAAGTGGGCACAGCAAAGGGAAGAATATAGCTACTGACATGGCCCTTTCCTCAGGGACTGCTGAGTCCAAATGAAAAATATAGATAAAATGCAACCAGTAGTACATCCACAATGTGGACCTCTCCTTCTCTTTGATACTAGAAGTAACCCCACAGATCTGTGCTCCTCTTCTGCAGACAGTTTTCCCAGTTTTGACAGCCCAGCTATACCAGAAATATCACCTACTTAATTTTTTGTTCTTGTGTTTGATGCTTTCATGCAAAAACTGTTGGGCTGTTTTACATGACAATTTTTCTTAAGTAGCACATGTCAAAAAAAAGGATCTCCAGAGTCTGCAAAAGGAGACACTTAAACACTGGTTTAAAAGACTATTAAAATAAGTCAGAAAATGGTGACTTACAGCAGAACTTATTATTCTCTCAAGATTTTGCCAACTCCTCAGGCCATACAAGGCAGAAAAACTGCGCTAGCCAAGCACGGCGCTTTGCGTGCCAGGTTCTTTCCAACACACTCTCAGACCGCGCAATTCCAGGTTTGCTTTGTACAATCCATGAATAGATTTTACAAATTCATCCCATTGCAGCACCCAGGGTAGACACATCCCAGAGGATGGTGAGACTGTGCAAAGCAGCTGGAGCTGAAAGGCAGCAGGAAGACGGGTACAGGAAGCAGATGAGAGTTGTGTGATGCTAGCCGCTGTTTTTAAAGTTGTATGTCACTTACATCACACACGTTTCCACTTCCCTGTGGTTTGCCGCCTTTTGGCTAAGGTTTTCCAGGCTCAGCTGGAAGGGAAAAAGTGCTGAAGTCAACAGTATGCACTCCCAACTGGCCCTGTAATG